TATATCTTGGCACAACGTCTTATACATAGTAGGCATCCAATAAGTATCTCTTGAAAGGATAACTGAATAAATAAGTAAATTCCAAATAAATCAGCTGAAGTTAATGCCGTGACAGCTCTGATGAAAAACATGTGCTAAGAAGTTACTGGGCAGTAACTTCTACCTTTATAATCAGAGACAAGGATATTTTATACCTTGATTATGTGCAGCAGAAATTAACAAAATATTGTAAATCGACTATACTTCTATATATATATATATATATATATATATATATTTTTAGAAAGAGCCACATCAGAGTTGCAGGACAAAACAGTAGACTGCTGAGAAATAATGTTACTGGGGACTCACTAAGACCATTCAATGCTAATGTCACAAAAATCACAGGCAATATTAAACTCACCCACCAACAATGGGGCAGCAGCATTAGATTTGTCCCCTGGTAGCCTCGAAGATAATCTGAATTTCCTGAGAAGTTGACTAAATGGTTGTGTTTTCTCATTTTGCTATTGACTTTCTAGAGAGAAATTCTGAGATAATCGGGAACATCATTATTCCAGGACTCAGACTGATCGAGTACAGAAAGAAGTGATTGTTTCCTCTGACACACACATGGCTAGGTGAGTTTGTGTGTAATGACATCACCAACGCTAAGAATTGGACACTATACTCTGATTGCATTCATTCAGAGTTTAGGGAAAATAAATATCGCTCTTCTTGATCACTGATTGAAATGCAGGAGTCCTTTCAAAGCGTGAAGTGTCACAACTCCATCTCCACTGATAATGTCAACTGATTGCAGGATACACCAGGTGTCTGTAGGGAATCACTCACCAGCAACTTCAACAATACAAGTGATTATAATTCAGTAGTTTTTAATGATGTCTGATGTGCAAATGATTCCTTTAGCTTCGCTCAGGAACATCAAATTCCCTCTTTGGCGATAACTCGGCTTTGAACTATATGTCACTCGCTGTTCCATCACTATCCTCCTGAATTCAAAATAACTACAGTAGCAAAAACCTTCAGCAGCCATGCGAATCCTTAATATATTCAAAAGAGAGTTCAACATTAAAACACACACAAATACTTGCAAAATAGAGCAAGTAGCTTAATTTGAGCAGCTAGAATATCTATGTGTTATATGAAAAGATGGACTCCTTAGCAGGCATATAAACTTAAGTGTGCAAATGTAATTTTAAGGTAGCAGAATGCAAAAACCTACACACTGCCAAATCACACAACCTCTGCAGAATTCCCAGTTCTTTACTCATGTTCAGAGGGTGAATGAGTTTTGCTCAGGATTACTCAATTTGCCAACAATTACCTAGAGGGTGCCGGGCAGAAAATGAAGACGGGCATTTTAGGAGAATAAATTGACTCTGCTTCATCTGCTCAGTGAATTATTGAAGGAAAGGCATGAAAATAAGTTTCTGATAAGAAGGCAATTCCCTCCATATTCCTGTAAGTTACTCAGAAATGAGAAAAATCAGTATCTGGAAAGAACGGCAATAGAGTTTGGGCATATGGCCTGAAAGATGAAAAGTAAAATATTATCTGAAGTGCTTAAAGGTAAAATACCTTGGCAGCGGTTAACACGGCAGGAAGCTACAGGACTCCTTATACTGTGTTAATCAATGTCCCGACCCCAAATCAAGTCACTGCTTTATTACCGTTAGAAAGCGCCTGCCACTCTTTTTCTCATCTATGTTCTATCAACCATTTGGTAAGGAAACTCATTTTTATGTGGAAGAAGTCTTGATAAAAGTATAGATGATAATTTCTAACCTGCTCCATCAAAATACATGAAGATATTTCCTTCATCTTGATTTAAAAACAAGTAAGTAGATGCTGGCAGACAACACTTGTTTATGAGAGGATGTGCTTCTATAGAAAAGAATACAAATGCCAAGCAGAATTATATACCATGTTCATTTGCAAAGAATTGTTGACACATTGTCTTTTTTAGGGGATTGGAACAATAGTCCCATCGTATGAAACCCTGATTGACCTGAACCCAAGTATGACACACCCCGCCTGAGTAATTCAGCGCTAGCACCAGAAGCTGCAGTTCCCCATTTGATCCACAAGAGGGCACCATTCCGCCACCGCTGTTCCCTGCAGAGGCTGCGCTTTCAGTAGAACAAATGTGTTTTTCAGTCTACAATCATTTTTAATTTTACTACTGACAGTCTGACAGGACTACTTAATATTGCTGGGTTGACCTTTCCATATTTTGTGCTAAATCTTTTTTTTTTTTTTTTTAAACTTCTCTTAATCTGCTGTGTCGGGAAGAGGATATAATTGACTCCACATGAAGACAGGCTGCAGTGTGATGTTATCAGCCGACAGCACTGGTCAAAACAGGTGGGTAGAGGCAGGATTGCAGGCAGCAACTGGTGCCGTACATCACACTGCAGGCCCCGATTGCACGAGCACCCTCCACGTGTGGACTATTCGGGGAGAATATTTAGCCTTCATCAATCCTCAAGAGGGGCTTGAAATGGCCTTCCACGGCACAGATAACATACAAGATGTAAAGTTAATTTCCTTAGGTTTAGTCCTATTCTCCTGGTAAAGGAAGACTGTCCATCTGGGGAAAGATCTTTCTTAAAATGTTGCCTTTGAAGACTAAGCAGGCTGGAAGAGAAAGGTAACAAAACTTTTTCTCCAACACACTTGAGAACAAAGTCATCTGTAGCCTAAAAGAAGCACATAATTCAGGCGGGGCTGCAGAAATAACAGCCAGCACTGCAGTTCCGGGATCTGACGATGGTGACATAGCCGCCACTTACCAAACACTTACTTTGCACCGGACTCCGTGATGAATGCTTCATAAGGAATTCCCCCAGTTTAAACCTCCCCACAACTCTGAGGACTGCACAATCACTAGCCCCCTACTAACAGATGGGGTGTGAGACCTAAGGAAGTTTCATTTATTATTATTTTAAATTTATTTGTTTATTTATTTTTGGCTGTGTTGGGTCTTCGTTTCTGTGCGAGGGCTTTCTCCAGTTGTTGTGAGCGGGGGCCACTCTTCATCGCAGGGCGTGGGCTTCTCACGGTCGCGGCCGCTCGTTGCGGAGCACTGACTCCAGACGCGCAGGCTCAGTAGCTGTGGCTCGTGGGCCCAGCTGCTCCGCGGCATGTGGGATCCTCCCAGACCAGGGCTCGAACCCGTGTCCCCTGCATTGGCAGGCAGACTCTCAACCACTGCGCCACCAGGGAAGCCCTATTATTTTTTTACACATATATTTTATTGAAGTATAGTTGATTTACAATGTTGCGATAATTACTGCTGTACAGCAAAAGTGACTCAGTTGTACGTATGTATAGATTCTCTTTTTTAAGGCTCTTTTCCATTCTGGTTCATCATAGGTTATTGAATCTAGTTCTCTGTGCTCTACAGGAGGACCTTGTTGTTTATCCATTCTCTGGATAATAGCTTCCGTCTGCTAACCCCAGCCTCCCCTCCCATCCCTCCCTCCCCCCACCCCCCGCTTTGGCTACCACCCCTCTGTTCTCTATGCTGTGGAGGCTTTATGTGGTGGGTTAGGACAGGCTGACAAGTGGACCCCAAACCAAGATTAGACGTAGGCTGTCTTACTCCAGTGGCCATAAGGCTATTCATAAAGTTACACCGCCCCTCAGTATCCTGTGAAATAGGTAGTCTATCCTCACACTGCTCACCTCATCCAACTTACAAGAGCCTTCCCGGGTTTCTGAGGCCTATTCTCTGAGAAAAGCCTGAGAGAAAAATTCCCAAGCAGGTTCTGCTTTGTGTCCCCTGGTTCCTCAGGAACCTGAACAGAAACCATGAAGAGCTAAACCTGCTTTGTGGTTTATGACCATGCAACTCAGGCTGGGCATGTTGGAATTTGAGGCCTTTCATAATACTGCAGAGTTTATACAAAATTTTGGAAATCTTGGCTCCTTTATTGGGGCCAGCTCAGCTAAGACCCTGCCCAAGATTTTCTGACAGAGAACACTTGTGATTTTGGAAATTTCTTAATGAAACTCCATATTGGACAAATCTGATATGGAAGGTGAGGTAAGAGTAGGCTGCCATTATTCATTTCCTATCTCACCTGCCCCCTCATTGTTCATTTCATGGAAAAAGAAAATAAGGGCATGGAATAGAGACCCTCTAGGCAGAAGCCACATTCCTAAGCAACTGAGTTACATCATCAAAGGGTGGGTCCACCCAGGCTGCAACTAGATACCGGTGAGCAACTAGAAAAACAGAGAAAGGCCTAGCTGTCAAGGGCTGGGAGGGTTGCACGTGACCCAGGAAAATTTGTGTCCAGGGCAAGTCTCCACTTCCATTAAGAAACAAAAGACTTAAAAGGAACCAAGGAATCCTGACAAGCAAGGCACATATCATGGAGTTCTAGGAGTTGGTGGGGCACATATGCGCCCAGAGACCCAATCCAGGAATGTTAGATGCCAAGCTTGATGCAACAAGATTGATTCTAGCCATCAGTGCTATGGACAAGGCTTCTTTTTATTGCCAGACTAAGAGAGGTTCAAAGTACGTAATTCTACAAAAGGGCAACGCTGGAGCAGTTAACACAATACAATGCAACATGGGATCCATATTTAGCTGGGCAGAGGTCGTCACGTGGCCAGCTACCCAGAAGAGCTGGCCTGGCCTAATTACCACAGGGACCAGCGCTGCTCTGAATCTCAAGACAAAGTCCAGGCAGGCACACCACGCATGGCCTCTGCAGCCTGAAAGATGCACTGTTTTGTACGCCAAGAACTAAGGGGAAATCCAAACTCTGTGTTTTGAGAGAAGGAAAACAATTCAAGTGAATCTTCTGTAACTTTGAAAGATGTATTATTGAATATAATTTTAGTAGTAGAAAAATTGGGGGCATACCACTTGGGTGAGTAACCAAGTGATCTGGTGAGCAGCGAAACATCTTTGGTCCAGTTCAGTGCCATGGTCCATGTTGCTACCCACATAAAGCACATTTTGATAAGTTCTACATACGTACAATTCTCAGATGAGATAAAAGTCTCATGACGTCTGCCATGTCCGCCAGGATGAGCAAGCGCGTTACAGCCGATAGCAGAGCCCGGGCAGCTCGCACCATGGTGCCACGCTTCACCGAGGAGCACGGATCATCAGCGAACTCTGAAGAGGCGATGCGCATCGTCTCACCTGGAAGACAGACACGGAGACACACGTGGGTAGACGGGAGGCTCAGAGGCTGGCAGTCGTAAAGATCTGTGGACGGGCCATCACAGCTCTCATTGCAGAACCACTATTACCAGGTGGTACCAGCTCCCTCAGTGCAGCAGAAGCTTTCAAGGCAAACGCATAAGTGCACCCAGACAGGTGCTGTAGACAAAACCCAAGTGTAAAATTATGTGTTTAGCATCAATAAGGAATATAGTTAATTCAATTTGTCTAAGAACTGAGATGAATTTGCCTGACCTTAATCATTCTCACTCTGCAAATCCCTTGGAACCAGTGGTATTCACTAGGCTAGTTGGTTTCTAACAGTTGAAGAATAAAGTTAACTGCTCCAGAGAGGAATGGAACTTAAGACCTTGGCCTCATGAACTCTGTACTCTTAATTGAGCTAATCAGACAATAACAGACTATAGAGTTACCCCAAGTCTGTTCTTTCAATTGTCTGCTAGGAAGCTATTCTCTAATATAGAGAACATTTATGAGACAATTGAAGCGATTCAACAGATGTTTATTAAGCACATACTCATGTCAGATTCTCTTCCAGGCTCTGGAATTGCAAAGGTGACTAAGAACGCCCTGGCCCCAAGGAATTCACAATCTAATGAGGACACACGTTGTAAATACATACTTATAATAGTGATTACGTGCCATCATAGACATATGATTAAGAAGGAAGGCAAAGAAGAGGAGGAAGTGATTTACTTATTTAGTATGAGGCTGGAGGGAAGCTGTCAACGTTGACAGCCTTTGAAAAACTAAAATGTATTCACCAGGAAGACGAAGGTAGGAAGGAAACCCGAGGCAGCAGGAACACCACGAGTCTCCAGAACTTGGAGCAGGGTGCTGAGTATGGGGAAATGCAATCACCCGGAAAGTCACAGTGAGTCAGGGGTGTGGGGAAGAGAGGCACCAGGGCCTGGAACACTGTGGAAGAGATCTGAACTGTGTCCTCAGCAGGGAGGGAAATGACTTAATAGATTTTTATTTTGGTCACATTATATAAAATAAACTGGAAGGGACAAGACTGGTGCAGAGAAAATAGGAAAACACGGTTATAATCTGAGGGAGCAGTAAAGAAGACGTGGACCAGGGAAATAGGAACGGGATACAGAGAGGAAGGGAGTATTAATGAGATCTGCATGAGAGAAACAACGGATTTGGGGACTGGTTAGGTATGGAAACCAGAGACGAGGTGGTGATGGTGAATACGGACCCAACACAATGGACAGGTACACATTTGCACCCCAGGAGAGGGAAACAAAGGGAGATCATTCACTACGTGAGATGGGCCCCATGGGGTGGATACCCACCCGGAGAACACAGAACTAGGAACTAGAACTAGGAAGAAGTATAATGAAGCTTCACAGAGCAGAAAACACACAGGGGTACAAACGCTTCAATGAACCAGAAGAGTAGAGTTAATATGACCAATTAATTAAATTAGGGTGACACAAGTCATTCAATATTTATTTATAAAATGATACTTCTCATCTATTCATCAAAACCGAGTTGATTTAAATAAAGTCAATTATATCACTGAAAGGCCATGCATCCTATAATTTATCCTAAGATATAAGGGAAAATAAAAAAACTCTTCTCATCATTTTACAGGCAGATCAAAATATAATGTAATTCCCTCAGTGTTGTAGTTATTTAAACCCTCACAGTTATCCTTTTTATACTTAAGAAATGTGGGTGTGTAAGGAAATATATTGTGTTGTTGGACTTTTAAAAGAGGCTACCATCTATGACACAGCCAGCCAGCTTAGTCTTTATGCCTAGGCACAAACAAGTGGCTTAATATATAACAGCAGCATGGGAGAAGTTTAAATATTCACTACCATACTGGTGAATTTTCAAGATGTATCGCTCCAGAGGCCTAAATATACTTTAAGGTAGAGACTGGCAGTTAGGAGGTACATATTCAATCCCAGTGTTCTACCCTTGCCACAGGCTTGCATAAATCTCTTCTCTGCCCACCCTGTGTCACCCAGAAAAAGACAGTAGCAAATATCTGAGTGGTGGGGAGAAGTGTACCTCATTCTCACTCTGTAGAGCGCAGCAAGAAAGAACATTATACACCAAGGTGAATCTAATGAAATATCGCGAGGGTCACCCTAAGTAAAGAATGGACACATTTGTACATGGTATTAATGGGTAAGTCAGATGCTGTTGGAAGGGATCCATTTATTCAAGGAAGGGGGAGATGTATTCTGCATGTGAACCGAGGGAGCTACATGGTTGGTCCCAAATTTTCAGGTTAAATGGTATGAGTCATAGCTCAGGTAAGAATGGACCTTTCAGGCAGGGCTCTTCTCAGAAAAAAGGGCCCTAAGAGGAGAGTCCAGTCACACCCCCTTCCAGCTTGTGGAGAAACCATGCCTAATCAAACTGATTTTCAAGATCAGATTTTCATATAGGAGGTCAGTATAATGGCACTTCATCCAGATGCTATTTGGTCAGCAATACTGCTTCAAAGCCAGGGGATGGCACAGAGCAGGATGGAGCTGTCACGTGGAGCTTGGGGACCACACCAGGCACTCCTGGAAGGCTCTCGGGAGATGTCCGTGAGAAAGAGAATGAGACCCAGAGAGAGAGAGACAGAGACAGAGACAGAGAGAGATCCACATTAGCAAATGTGACTCTGCAAAAGGAAATGTCACACTAAATTCTGAGATTACCCTCCAATAAATAAAAGACGATTTAATCCAATTTAAATTAAAACTGAAAACTCACTTTAAGCAGATACAAATGATTTCATGTTGTTAAAGTTTTTAAAGGAAAGGCACCCTGGAGTCGGCTATAGCTTTAATGCGTTTTACATCCCTGTAGTTTTAGGATTGCTAAAAGAAAAAGGAAATCTATATTACAAAATGATAAGAGAGTTTATCAGAATAAAATTAGCTATTTTCCCCGAGAACTGCTTTTTCTATAAGACTAAAATATTTAGCTAAGAAATAGCATGCATGTGTAGGAGCTGGAAGACAGCAATAAAGAGAGGACACCAGAGCTGCCTGTTTCTTTTATATACACTCTTGTATTCAAGCTCATAAGCTTGATTACAGACCTAAGCTCAGAGCAGGGTTTCTATGATAAAGCTTTGATCCTCTCAAGCCACTACCACCTGCTGGAAAGAAGAAAAAAATAACATCTCCAAATAAGTGACTAAGGGGAAATAATACTAATTAATCTGTATACAACACTTCTGTATAAAGGTTTAGTTTGTAAGTATTGTTCTAAAAGTTTTACATATATTAACCCGTGGATTAACAGAGAATATACATCTTTAACAAAGACCAAGTGTCACACCTGACTCCTTCCAACCATTATTAAACTGTGAGATCAGCGATTATTCCACTTCTGTGTTTTAGTCCCCTCAACTATAAAATAGAGGTGGAAATAATAACAGCTACTTCGTAGGCTGTCATTAGAGTTAAAGATCAAAGATAATGCATTCAAAGCACCCAGCACAAGGCTTTGCCAGTAATGGAGCTTACTCATTATTTACCATTAATACCGCAGCTACCACTATCACTGCGATCCTCTCCAATACGACAAGAATAGTTGGTGAACTCCCAGATAAAGGTTTGGAAGTGCATTCTGTGGCTGACTTCACTGCTAGTGTACACAATAATTAAGAAGCAAGAAAACATCTGCCTGATAAAAACGTATCGCTTTAAGGCAGAATATAACCCCCCCTCCCCCCAAAAGAAATGGTGTTAGTGCTTGGTTTTCAAATTGGTGCTTGTTTTGGTTCTTAGGCTACCTGGAGGAATTGGAACCTCTGCAAGGACTTGATAAATGTAGCAAGAGCCACATTCCATAAAATGGTGATTACTGTCTTGCTTAAATGCAGCAGAAGACCGCAGACTTGGAAACAGTAAACAGCGATGTGCTAAGCGTAAAAGAAAAATGGAGTGCAGAGGATCAATACTGAATCCGCTGTCACTTAATATTTTTATAAAAATAAAGAGAAAAGAAATTGATAAACATGGTAACTTTAAATTTCATTGTGCAGTGGAAGTGGTTCTGAAATATCTGCACTGTATCAAACATATAATTAAACAAAACCTATTGTAAGTTACTTTGTAAAGCAAGTAAGCACCCAATAAATTATCTTTGTTTATAAATCCAAAATTTCAATAACCCCGTATATGTAAGGCAAGTCTCTCTATAAAAAGCATGCTGTTGACTTTATACTCTTAAGTCAATAAATGTTTCTATTGATTAGTATCTTTATTCTTCTATAACCCTGACTACAAATCAAAACCAACTGAAATGTCAGTAGACTGATATATAGTACTTGGTAGTTGAAATATGATTTCAAAAAATCTTTTAATGTGATGAGGAAAGAAAAACAATGCCATAAGTGGCATCCTGACTGAACAGCAGAGATAATATGATCATCAAAAATGCTATCATCTAATTCTGAATGAAAAAGGCAGGCTCACCATCTCAACATGCAAATAGAGAGGATGTTGGCTTCCTCTTGCTAATTAAGACACTGTGTTAAAAAAAAAAAAAAAAGGGCAGAATAGGAAGGTAGTGGTGGGGTGGGGAGTTAATATCTAAATTCCAGAATTTAAGAATATGTCAGAGGACATCATGAAGCCTAAATCTTAGCAGATGCAGAACTCAGGTGTGACCTCTGCCTCCTTAGGAAACCATTCCAATTTGAGAGACCTCTAATCGTTAAAATTTTTTCTTCAATTATTTTGGTCTTCCATGTGTTCTTCTGAACCACACATAAAAATCTAGTCCCCTTTTCAAATCGATAAATCTTGAGAGAATATTTTTAGATGTCCTTCAGGGAGAAGGAAAATGCCAAAACAAACACACATCAGCCATTGCCTGAGAACTAACGCTGCATCATCCAGATTATGAAAATGACACCTCGCATAGAGAAATGAACAAACAACTCCCCCTAGTTTTCCAAATGTTAAATACCTACTAACTAGTCATTC